ATAAGATAGACAATTTCTCTTCACTATTTTCTCTACAATAATGCAGACAGAAGAGAAGCCTACGTGCTACTTTTGCCTGCGGTTGGGCTCTAAGTGAGTGCAGGCAGAACTTTCTGTATTTTAAAAGGATGTAGTATTTATTTACAGTCACAGCTGGATGCAACCGCTCAGGAGCAGCTTTCTCTGTAGATTCTCATTTCAAGATGTCTTTCTCCCACACAGATTAAGTGTGCTCTGTGCTTGGGAAATGCCAGTGCGTGCTTTAAGAAATTCTCTTATTTGCTAACACTCTGCCTGGTAGCCTACTCAAATTCTGTTGGGCTTTAAAGAAGATGAAAATAGGCCTAGCTAGAGGTTTAGTCTCTCATCGGTCCTTCCTTTCTAGGTAAGAAGGGTGCCTTTAAAGTTAGCTGCTTCTTGAAGAGCTGTGATGTATTCAGAACTGTTTTATGTTCTGGTCCTGATCACTTGACATCTTAACAACTCAGAAGAAATGTGCTGAAGCTTAATCACTTATCATATTGATAGATGACTTTGTAGTCATTTTCTTAACACGACTCTTGTTTAGCACTCCTGCAGTAGAGCTGCTTATGGGTCGTGTGTGTGTTGTGACAGCAGTGTAACTATCTGAAGCTTTCTTGCACTATTTGCAGAATTCAGTAGCTGTCAAGAGTGCAGTGGGCAACCTCACCAGGGAGGTGAGGTTTTCTTACAAGTAGAAACTGTTTTCTGAGAAGTAGATAGGCCGTTTTTGCAAAGATGGTAAGGGAAAGAGAAAGGAGAGAGAGAATTGAAGGTAATGTGAGGCCGTGTGACCTAACAGAGGCCAAATGTTGAACGTACTTTTTGTTTAAAATATTCTCGTGCAATGTCCAAGAAGATAAAGGCTGCGTAGTAGCTGGAACAACCACACACCCTTTCTGCAGACTAGCAAAAAGCGATAGCATTAAAAACAGCCCACAACCCAAACTGATGTAAGGACTACTGCCGCTATTAATATGCTGTCTTCCACTTGGATAGCTCGTACACTGAACTGAAGGTGTTAACTTGTGGTAATGGGCTCTGCTGTGGTTTTTGTCTCCAAAGGGTGCAGCAGCACATACCGTTTCGGGAGAGTAAGTTGACGCACTTTCTTCAGGGATTCTTCAGTGGAAAAGGGAAGATACACATGTTAGTAAACATCAGCCAGTGTGCTTCAGCCTATGATGAAACGTTCAATGTGCTGAGGTTCTCAGCTCTTGCACAAAAAGTGAGTGTGCTGTAGTCTCTCCTGGGGTTGTTGTGCTTCTTTGGGGTGTGAGGGCGGAAGCCCTTCTCTTCTGAGAATCTTATTCCTAAAAGGTATTCAGCCTAACAAGAAGCAACTTGTTATATCGGGAGGAAATTCTCCACTATTGACTTAATTTTCCTCTCTTCCCAAAATATGATCCCACCCAGGAAAGCAAATCCAGCTAGCCCATACGTGTTGTAATTTTGACTCTTGTTCAGGTCAAGCCCTGACAATATAAATGGAGCAGCAAAGAGTTTGAAAGGCTGTGTTATGGCCGTAAGAGGCTTCAGTGGGGAAGAAGCGGAGGTTAGTCAGAATGGGTAGGAATGAGAGTCATGATATAAGGCTGAAGAAGTTAAACTGTCCGATCAGTGCTGCAGGCTTGATGGAAGTGTTTGAAGCGTTGGCAGTTTGTTGTCTGAAGCGTGATTGGTGGATGTGTGCCCTCGGATTGTGGCCGTATCTAAGGAGGTTAAGTGGGAAAGTAGAAGGAGCAGCCTATGAGGGTGATGTGGTTGTGCAAGACAAAGACCTGAAAAGATGATGTCCAGTTGCATTGAGTGCAACTGGAAACTGAAAGCAAAAGCAGAAACCTGTGGCTTAGTGAAGTGTCAGTTCTTGCACGTTGTTTGGCTAGTGATAGTCTTGAGAGTAAGAGGAGGATTGGAGTCTGCAGTAACTCCTTTCTACTTTCTTGAAAACTGGTTGAAGTAGTGACCAAACAAAGGCTATAGGCCAAGGGAGTAGTAAGCTCTGGAGAGGAAATGACAGCAGGTCCCTCTTGGAAGTTCTAGTCAAGGTTGAAGGAATACTGATGGCTTTGTTCTTTTATTTCCTGGGCAGGTTATAGTAACGGATGCATCTGTTCCTCCTCGTGATGAGTCATTTGGCCAGAACTCAGCCAGTGGGTCATCAACGCCTTGTTGCTCTAAAATGACTGTCCCAAGGAGAAGCACTGGATTTCTGTGGGACCGGACCCTAGAAGATGTAGTGGAAGATGATGACTATGAGATGGAGCAAGAACATAAGAAGTCAGGAGAAGAAACAGTGCTGAAATATGAAGAAAATAAAGTCCTGGTAGGGAAAGAAGAATATTCAGTAAGTGCCCGGACTGCTTTAAGCATTAGTGAATCCCTGAGGCTTGTAACAACATCCTTCTTTTCTTCCATCTCCCTCCTCTTTGTTCTGAGCACCCTTTCTGTCCCTAAATTCAATGTTAAGAACTAAGTGGAATTTCCGAATTACTGAATGGCC